CCAGAGGCCCTTGGTCACCGCTGTGTGTGTGGCATGCATACATGTGGCCCAAATGGAAATCTCTGGAGTAGGGCGTGCCTTTTGTGAGGTTCTCTGGGTTTGGGTGGGCTCCACCGTGAAAAGGCATGAATCAATCTGAATGCTAACAGGGTCATGCAAATGTTGTTGTTGCTTTTTTTTTTCTCTGCCTATTTTAACTTTATGAAAAGGCAAACTGAAAATAATGGAACAGAAATTGTTTTGCATCACATACAGTAATTTGTTGGCAATATCAACCGACGTTAATGCATTACTTCTGCTGGATCTTATCATAATGACTTGACACAAGTAGCTTGCCTGGTGAACTTCCGCAGAAATAAGAAGAAATCAATTCTCGGTATCCTTCAGAGGCAACGCAGAGCTGAACGCTCTCCTTCTTAGCTCAACCAAAATGTCAAATGGGCAAGTTGTTAAGAAATAAAGTAATTTATTTTAGATGGAAGAGAATTAAAATACATGTATATTATATTTTTCTAGTTATGCTGGAGTGACATTCCTGGAATGGCACTTGTAGGATGTCACTTTTGGAAGTGGCATTTTTTTTATGGTAATGGAGAGATTCATTAAAAGATTAAAATGATTTTGTTTGAAAAAAGCAGGAGAAAAACAGAAAACGAAATAATTGTCCCTATTACCTTCTGCCTCCTGCTGTTTTATATTTACTTCTCCCTGCATTTACATGTGTATGTCGTATCCATACCATATAGTAAAATGTTTTCTATTTTTAATTGATTTTTTTTTTTTTGGTATTTCTTCTATCTGGTGTCTTGCTACCACCTGCAACTCAGTGCGGCCTTACTTAAAACCCAAATTCAATATTTTCCATTCCAAGTCCCCTTGTTTAGGGGCCTCTTTGTTGGTTTTAGTGACAGTCAACAGAAAAGAAGTCTCTCTTCCACCAATTGGAGGCAATCTTAACATACATAAAACCAAGACAGAATTGTATCTTGGAAATGCAAGGGACGCTGTCGCCTGTTGGGGGAACAGAGCCTCGACCTCGGTCTCTTTATGAAATAGGGGAGTACCGAGGGTGAGAGAGATGTTAGGGATGGGCCCCCAGTGCTGAGACCTGACCCAGCCAGCATGCAGGAGAACAGACTTCATACCAACTGAATAAGCAAGTTAACCCTTTCTTTAAAGGGTCGTTTCTGTGCTATCTCGAGTCAACTTCCTCACTTCATCTGCTTCTGACCTTTAAAATACTACCCAGGCCCTAAGACCAACTCTTATGCTTCTTCCTCCATGAAGCCTCTTGGGCTCCAGAGGCAGGTGCTTCTCAACTGGGTGAATTGCCCCCCCACCCACCTCCCCACCCAGGGTTGCAAAGCCAGGCTGGGAAGGGCTACCGGCGCCTAGTGGCAGGGCCCCCGGGGATGCTGCTGAACACCCTGCCATGCACAGGACAGCCCCCAACAAAGAACAGTTGTCCAACCTAAAATGTCAGTGGTCCCGAGACTGAGAAGCCTTGTTTCGGGAGGTGGTAGTTTCTTCCTACATCTTCCTCTTTGGCCACGACCTTTTGTATAATACCTGTTTAGATATTTGTTTAATTCCTTTTATTAAGAGTATAAACTCCTCGAGGGAAGGAAGCATATATATTTATCTTTTTCTCCTCAGCATCGAATACTCAAGGACGATGATTAAGAGAAACATGTTATTACAAGAGCTTGTGGTAAAAAGCTGTTTAGCGGTAGCGTAATTTAATATTTGAAAAATCTCATCAAATTCAGGGAATATTTTATTTCTCGATTTTGTTCAGTTATAGGATCTTGGGCTTGGAAAAGACCTAAAAAGTAATCTAGTCCGACTGCTCTTCTTTACCAAGGGACTTCTTTTGACTTCCTAAATACCGAATTGAAATTCAATTGCAATCGTCCTCAGTTGCCAGACTGTGAAATTGGTATTTCCTCATTTAGACATTATCAGAATATATGGTGGCCCTCTGTGCATAGATATATACTGTGTGTGTGAATTCATTAGGAATATTAATTGCAGAAAAAGACACTAGATGGTCTTTATATTCCCTTCAACCCTGAGAATCAGTGACTTAAATTGGTAGCTTTACCAACATATTTACTTACTATGTAAGGCGAAAAGAGACTGAACAGCATGACTCTTCTACATAAATATTTGGTTTATTAATTTCTAATTAACCCAGAGGTAATCTTCTACATCTAATAAATTCCCACCCATTAATTACTGAATGCCAAAGACACCTTTGATTTTTACTTAGTGACTCATACATTCTAATTGCAACCCTTCTGTTGAACTCTTACAGAACTTCCCCCACAATAGGATGAGTTGTCTACTTTATGACCTTAAGGACAAAAGTGGTTATATCTTAAAAAAAAAATCCTACCATGTACCTAATACAGTGAAAAACTCACACACAGCAGATGATATCTGTTCCGTGGTGGAGCTGGAGTTCTGATAACTTGAAAGTTAAAAAGGAACACTTTTTACCCCATCTGTGGAATCCTGTGGGTAACTTTTAAACAGCTCAGGAAAGAAATATCAAGCTCAGTGGGCATTTCTATTAATAAGATGGAAAGATGAGATTCAAAAACATTATGAAAGACAGAAGCAAACGAAGACAAAATTGTAAGTGGGTTCATTTTAGCTAAAAAGCACTGATATTTGATTAAACAAAACTATATGACTCTCAATAGAAAACCATAAGGGAAAATATTACCACAGTCCTGGCACGTTTGGAAAAAAAGAACCTTTTATTACCAATAGTCAAACTAAAATGTTGTTTATAAATTATGGCTAAAGGTTATTTTACTGTTCTTGAAATATAACTACTTTTTACTCAGATGCAGAAAATGTGACTTCCAGATTCAGCTTTACACTAATTGCTGGTGTCACTTTGAACAAATCACTTAAGCCTACTGGAACCATTTTTCTTCTTAGAAGTTTATGAGAGCCGGACAATTTGTTTCTAAGATTGCTTCCAACTTTAGCCTCATATTTGTCTGAAGATTTGTAGTTAAAACTTCTTTCCCATATATTATGTCATTTTATCATCTCCACAGCTTTGGAAGGAAGGCCTAGGACGCATTATTATTTTCCTTTTACTAATGGAAAAATAGGCCCAGGCAGTTACCCAAGCCTGGTATGTAGCAACCCACTACCGTTTCCAAGATAATTTGCCCCAAATCCTCTTTCTGAGAGTTAAGTATATAATTCATCTTTAGAATGTCTTATTTTTCTCTATTTCAAAATTAACTTTTAAAAAAGCAGACTCTCAATGATAAATGTAGGCTTCATAGTGTTAAAAAGGTATAAACATTTACATCTGATGGTTTGAGCCAGGGATAGCCAATAAGATTCAATGCACATGTCAACTCCTATTGATTGGTGGTAGCTGCCTGAAGTGCTATGCTGAGAATAATTTTGAGACCGGGTTTGGGCTCAGTGGGAAAGTGTGCCACGTTAGATTAACCGTGAGCACCGTGGATGATGGAGAGGGGAGTGGTGGCAGGACTACTTATGGGGAAAAGAGCCTTTTAAAGAAAGGACTTCAGCACTCAGTAATGTTTTCTGAGGGGTCTGGTGATGACTTGCCTTATATCGAGTTTTGTGACTAGTGTTATCAGAAGTTTAATTGATCTGTGTCACGAATGTTATCATAAATCATGGCTTCTTTTGCAAGGTAGGACAGTGTCCTTAAAGTACCTAGTTTGAGTATTTTCATTTGTAACCCTAACCGTGAAAGAATATAGAGGTTGCGTCTTATTAGAGTTTTAATGAGATGCAACTTTGCAGCTTGATCTGAAAACCTGAGGGCATAGGATATAGTTTATATAGATATGTACACATATATGCACATTGACATGCTTATTATATGGATATTTATTTTATGAATTTGCATGTATTATATTAACATAATACCGAATTTATAATTTATGTAATAAATATATATTAGGAGTCGTAAAAACCAAGAGTCTCTGGATTCTTCAATATAATCATGCGTTAAATCATTCCAAGAAATGGGACGCCTGGGTGGCTCAGTGGTTGGGCGCCTGCCTTTGGCTCAAGGGGTGATCCTGGGGTCCTGGGATCGAGTCCCACGTCGGAGTCCCCAGAGGGAGCCTGCTTCTCCCTCTGCCTGTGTCTCTGCCTCTCTCTTGTGTCTGTGTCTCTCACGAATAAATAAATAAATCTTAAAAAAAATCATTCCAATAAAGGCTAAAGACCTTGTGAATTACTGACTGCCCTTTATTAACTGCCTGATGGTTGCTCTTCATCTTTCGCAGTGATATGTTCTTTGTATCCTTTTTCTCCCACTAAGCTTTATAGTACTTTTTAAAAGTTAGGCTTGATTATTTCCTTTCAAGCAACGAACACCCAAGCCTTAGGGAAATATAGTAATCATTCAGGGTGATACAGCTGAGAATGTTGTAAAGCCAGAATTTAGACCAACTTTTGTCAGGTTTCAAAGTCCTTAACAAAATCAGCCCATGTCTAGCTAAAATTTGAGGGCACAGGTGTTTCCCACTGGTGATCTATATTCTGCATGTATTTGATGACGACTTTTGGATTTTAGTTTCCCTGTCGTTACTTGTACACCTTTAGAGGAGAAAGTGGGGAAAGTGGGGGCGTACCAAAAAGGAGAACTATTATTTTCCAATTTTTACCAAGGGATGCCAATGAGTTGTTTCTCGGTATTGTTTAGTTTATTTATTTATTTATTTATTTATTTATTTATTTATTTATATTAAGCACTGGTCTGGGTTTAGAGAATTTCCTTTATTGAGATAGAGACTCCCCCGAAGAATTTTTATTGTTGGGGATATATATATATAAATTATTCTTTCATGCTCTTCATGTACTTAAGTTCGGTTCAAAAAAAGTACCTTGTGATTTGGCAAAATATATTATCAGCAGAAGCATGTAAAATGGTCATAACTTAACTCAAGCCATAAATGTAATTCAGAATGTCATTTTCTTTTTTCCAGATTCCTCGGTGTTACGCAGTTTTCGCCCACACATGCCAGAAAGGCATTTCCTTGTTTTGACGAGCCAATCTACAAGGCCACTTTCAAAATTAGCATCAAGCATCAAGCAACCTATTTATCTCTATCGAATATGCCAGTGGAAACTTCCGTTTTTGAGGAAGATGGATGGGTTACGGATCACTTTTCACAGACCCCTCTCATGTCTACATATTATTTAGCCTGGGCGATTTGCAACTTCACATACAGAGAAACTACCACCAAGAGTGGGGTTGCAGTAAGTATTTTAAATATGTTTTTAGATAATGTACACACTGTATGGTCATCTGATTTCTGGATTAACCATGAATTGTTTTATAAGACTATTTCTTCTTTCTTATGTGGCTAAATTCTTTTGCTAACCCTTGGGAAGGGTCAGACTCTTCTCGTCTCAAGAGTCTAACAAAACTGTCTTTTTCATGCCCAGCCCTCTTGTCCCTTTCGCCACCTCCCCCGCCATCCCAGTCCCTCTTGATCTTCAGAGTATTGCTAAAACACCTGTTGTCTACTTGGCAAATTGCTTTTTGTTTATATGCCTGGGAAAAGCTGTTTCTTTTTATTGTGAAATATTTCAAATATCCAGAAAATGTAAGGAATAATATAATAAACTCCACAAACCTACTAGCCAGCTATAGAGAATCTAAACGTTTTACCATCTTTGCTCTCGTGTAACTTAGTTTTTGAGAAAGTAATACACAGTGGGTAGAGTCGAAGCCCTCTGTGTACACCCGTCTGATCTCATCACCTTGCCTCTTCCTTTAGAGATGACTACTGTTCTGAATTTGATGTTTGCCATTTCCATGCATATTATCATACAATTGTCAAGTATGTATATATATATATATATATATATATATATATATATATATTTCTGCAATAGATGCCGTGCTTTAAAATCTCATGTGTTTTATATTATAGATATCATTCTGCACCTTATTTTTATTTCATTTTAGTTTTTGCGTAAAATTGCGTAAAATTATGTTTTGTGGTTTATCTGAATAGAATGGGTTGAGCGAAACATTTTAATTTTTCTGATTTTGAAAGATTAATGACAATGCTCGGTGAACATTTTTGTTCACAAGTTCTTCTGTCCATGTGCTAGAATTTCTAAAGGGTATAACGCTTCTCTTAGCCGGTAACACCCAACTGCGTAGAGATGTGTTCTTAGGGGAGCATGATATATAGGAAGCCTGAGAAGTCATGCTCTGCATTCGATTTATAATAAGAATCAATTGAACTGTCTGTGACAACTATCATCTGTGACAGCATGGTGTTCTAAGCATTTTTTGCATGCTGTTGGATTGCACTAGTCACGCCAGGTCAGGCCATGCTGACTTAACAACTTCCTCATCATTTCAATGGCTTACACAATAAATACACATCTATTTTAAGTTTTATGTCACCCCTAAAGCAAAGTATTATGATTCCGTTTTTCTAGATGAATAAAGTAAATTGAGGTTTAAAGAGATTAGGTAACTTACCCAAAGTCAAAAAGTAAACAAATGGTAGAGCTACAAGACAAACTTTTGTTGGTGTGATCCCAAATTTTGGGCTTTCTCTCCCCATGTACCCTGGGAACTCTGTTTCATCATTTTAGCTGTATATCTGTAGAAGAATTCAAGTAATTATTTTCCCCATCCAGTGGCCATCATATTTAGTGTTGCTCGAATGTAAAAAGGAATTAATAGAAATCTATATTCTTGTTCTGTAGGAAGTTCATAGGTTTATAACAACCTACATTTTGAAAAATAGTTCTAGATAAGTAAATTTTTCTCAGTGTTACTTTCGATTTAAATCACTGTGGGACCTATTTAAAAAAATAAAATATGCTTGCATAAAAATTAATGCCATTATTGAAGAACTGTGTACAGTGAATTAATCTACATAATCATTAAAATCAGGTCCTTATAGCTGGCTGTAGAGGGCCAGAAAACATTTTACTCTTCTCAACTTATTTGATATGTTGAATTCCTCTGATGTTTGTTGATGTCTCCTATGAAAACTTCAAGTTTATTGAACTTTAACACTTCAATACATGTTGGGCCACACACAGAAAGGAACACCAAGACATCTCATTTACTTTGACGTCTTCAAAAGTTGATGACTGGCTTGCTGTGCGTCAACTTGTAGTATAGGGCACACTGGTACTGTTTTTTTTGTTTTGTTTTGTTTTTTAGTAGGTTTCCTTTAAAGCATCTTTAAAGTGTTCTCAGCCCTATACAATTAAGCTTGTTGCTAAGTGACCCATATTTAAAACCAGACACACTCTAATTATTTAGATGTGACTCTTATTAGAGTTAAGAATCCAAGTAATTAGTAAACATTTTAAAATTCCTACTTAATAATTTTTATGTAGAAAAGATAAAACATGCTACCAGAGAACATCGAAAGGTCAACTGAAATAAAATCTTGGGTTTTATAATCTAAAAATACTAAGGATAATAAAAAGGAAAACAAAATTGCCACTGGGAGCCCTTATTTATCAACTGCGGAAACACAGTTTAAAGCTGGTTCTTTTTCTCAGTCACCCCTTGGATATCCAATCTATTTTATTTTCATTGCCTTTTCTCTTTATTACTGGCGAGGAGCACATAGGAATCACATTTCTGAACTCTTAACAGCTGGAAGGAGTGGAAGTTTAGCTTTAGGATCTTGGGTGTGAAACAGTCATGTGAAGTCTATGTGGTCATTTTGGATCAGAAGCTGACGCAGTTTTCTTTGAGATGTGAGAGTGTAGCTAGAGTAGCATCTTAATAATTTACAGCTGAATGGTAACAGTGCCTCAAATGTGTGTATTTGAAGCATCATCATTTACTTCTCAAGTTTTCTATACTTTGCAAGGCACTATCCTAAGTAATTAGGTTAAAAAAAGAAACTCTAAGATGCTTCTAGTACAGCGATTGCATGTGCGTCTTTCAGATGTATCCAAGCTGGCAGATATATTTTGTTGACCCATCCCTAAAATAGCTTAATATTTTTGTAATTAATTGTCGATATTTAGAAATTGAGAGAGTGCACATAAAATTATGTATTTCTGGCTTCTCTTGAAATTGGGAAGATCTTGTCACATTGGGCTCACATTCCCACTTAGCAATTATTGTTCACTTATTTATTCCTTCAATAAATATTTACTGATTGAGTGTCAGGTATTTGTCTAGGCTTTGGTGATATAGCAGCAAACAAACAACAATGTTCCTGCCCTCAGGGAACTTACATTCTAATGAGGAGAGAGTAACAATAAGCAAATAAATGTATTATCAGGTGGTAATATTTGCTATGGATAAAATCAGTGTGCTATGACTGGGTGGTGGCTGACCCATTTACCTGGGGCATTTGCTTCCTAGTGTAACCTCACCCAGACCACTTTTTTCTTTTGCACCATGTCAACTTCACTGTTGGGTATTACCTGCTTTCATTCTGTAGGCCTTTGGATTTTCAACCCTTACCTAGGGACATAATTCAAGAGGGTAGCCAAGGAATATGTGTCAGAGAAACAATAAATTCACTCATTGCGTATTATTATTTTTTTTAAATTTTTATTTATTTATGATAGTCACAGAGAGAGAGAGAGAGAGAGAGGCAGAGACACAGGCAGAGGGAGAAGCAGGCTCCATGCACCGGGAGCCCGATGTGGGATTCGATCCCGGGTCTCCAGGATCGCACCCTGGGCCAAAGGCAGGCGCCAAACCGCTGCGCCACCCAGGGATCCCCAACTCATTGTGTATTAGTAATACGTTCACTAATTGGGAAATGCAAGTTGTAGAAAATAAGTTCAAGACTGTTTAGAAGAGGGAGAAATTGCGAAGGTTGGGGTCTTATGATGAGCTTTGTGGAGGAGACAGGATTTAATATGACCCTGAGTGATGATTTGGTCTTAGAAAGGCAGATGATGTGTGCATATAATTCTTAGTGGGAAATGTTACTAAGAAAAGACAAAGAGATAGGGATATCTATAGGATGTCTACGGGAGATAGTGTATGGTTATTATAATCATAAACATCATTGCTTCTCCTGCATTCTGATGGTTACAAATAAGTCACTAACCATGGTTCTGATTTGCTGGGGGAGGGCATATATCCCACCTCTTGATAGGGAGTGTCAGCAAATTTGTGGACATGTTTTTAAATCAATACATCTTTTCTCGGACCACAAATTATTTATATTCATCTCATGTATAGAGTACACTCGCCAAGAGGTCTCACTACTTTGTGACATCAGACTGAAGTCTGAGATCCAGGATCTCACCATCTAATTTAGGTCTAGGTGCAGATGAGACTATTTGGGTTTGGTTTCTTGGACATGGTTTTTGTTGCTCTGAAGACCTTTTAACTAAAGAGACATGTTATCTATCTTCTCTCCCTCAACAGACAATGGTGAGGTGGGAATATGATTTTTTCAATAGGACTTCCTATTCAAGAATGGAGAAAATGGGAGGACATAGCAGTCACTGGCCCATAGCAGTTCTGAAACCCAACTGGGCACATGTTGGCAATTTTAAGATTATGGCTTAGTGCTGTTCCCTGTGAGTTATCCTTCCTATTACTTGGCCCCATCAGCTCTTAGTTTTGCTTTTTAAGGCATCTTTTCTTTTGTAATTAAAAATTAGTTTGTGTTTGCAATTGAATAGCCTTCTCAGCTTGTTTCCTATCAGTAAAAAATTAGGGGTCTGAAGGCTTATTTTTATTTTTATGTTTTGCATTGGCTCCGTTGCTTTGAGTCCAAACAGGTATAGTTATTTTTTAAAAAAACTTGAGGGCAGCCCAGGAGGCTCAGCAGTTTACTGCCACCTTTGGCCCAGGGCATGATCCTGGAGACCCGGGATCGAGTCCCATGTTGGGCTCCTTGCATGGGGCCTGCTTCTCCCTCTGTCTGTGTCTCTGCCTCTCTCTCTCTCTCTCTCTGTGCCTCTCATGAATTAATAAATAAAATCTTAAAAAAAGTAAAAAAACTTGACTTTTTGTGTCAAGTTATATCTATTCCAAGACAAAACCATGGGTCTCTTTAATATGAGCCTTTGTGTATTTTGAGGCTTTGCAGAATAATGCTCATACCACTCTTAGACGCTCTATTACTGAACAGATAAGGTTTATAAGACACACCCTTAAGATTCTTAGAAAACCTTTTGACTGTTTGAAAAGGTTTGAAGGGCATCATTTTAAAAGTGTTTGAAGTCTTGACAGTTCCTGAAGTTGTGTTCTTGGCTTTATCTTTAGCTCATCTTTTCCTGACAGTGACCTG